AACGCGCTATTGATTGTCCATTGATGCCTATGAATGTACACGCATATTCAAATATCGTTATTGAAAGTTGATCCGCGCTAATGTTGTTACTTGTGGTGTTGATGAAAGTACATTACACGTTATTGATACAACTATTGGCACAAATGAATGTACATTTTCTCTTAATGAACAGCAAAAGGTGTACTGTATGACATAAGAAGAGTAACCATTGTTTCCTCATTTAGCCATTGAGAAAGCAATTAATTGGCCTTTATAATATATGCATGTACTATACATATACAGGTGGTCTCCTTTATGACCATTATATATTTGTATACTACTGTATGACGTAAGAAAAGTAACCAATGGACTCCCTCAGTAGAAGAAGATGTTGTTTATTTGACTGAAATTTCAGGCCCCCCCCCCCCCACCCCATCCTCACCCCTTAAGAAAAAAATTGCCCCCATTCTACAGGAGGTGTTGATATTTTCTGGAAATACTGTATACAACTAATAATTACTTCTGCACTTGCAAAATAGTAGTATTATTTTGCATCTCATTTTCTGTTTGTTTTTCTTTAGCTCAAGCAACTAGGACACAGTGTAGACAAGGTAAACCAGTTTTAGAAAGCATGATTGAAAATAACATAATTGCCAGCAAGATATCAGCTGGTCTAGACATTTTATCACCAAACAGTTGATTTTGGTGGCTATCAAATTAATGGGATACCTGTGAGCTCGAGGGTGGGGGGTGGGGATTTGGTGTGAAACTTTGATTTCAGGACAAAATTTTTTATCACATTTGTAACCATTTACAATTTCAAGCTCTGTAGGGAAAATATCCATTTCAGTTGCTTTATTTATTGTGTTGATATTATTATAATTTAATTGAGCATAAATAAAATTTTGAATCACCAGATTTTAAAATGGTGTTAAGACTTTACTAGCTTTTCACTTTTAATGTGTATTGTATAAAGTTTGTCCAATTCAGAAATGTTGATTTTTTTATTGTTTTCTTTGCTTCAAAAGGTTGAATTCATTGTGATGGGTGGAACATTTATGTGTCTGGATGAAAGCTACAGAGACTATTTCATCAGGAATCTGCATGATGCTTTGTCAGGACACTCTAGCAACAATGTAGATGAAGCTGTCAAGTAAGTATATGTATTAGAACTAACTCAATGATGTACAAGACCTTATTAGTCTAGACTAACTCCCTGAGGTAAACCATGTTACATGTACAATACTGTACCTCCTATTACTAATATTAGGAAGCTCTTATAAGGCATTGCATGGCATTATTTACTACCAGTATGTTACTATGGTAACAACTCTCAGTACCAACAGTAAGCCCATGACATGACTACCATGTTTCCATGGCAACAGCACCTGATCAAACCAAAAGCAAAGATGAAGAAGCTGTTATTCATGGCATGAACCATGTTACTATGGAAACAGTAGGACACTTGCATTATGGCATCCTTTACTACAACTATCAGTATCCCTTGCACACTTTCTTTTGTTCAGTTAATTAGCACCAATATTGTTTTCCAGCCTATTCTCATGAGGGAATACATAAATAAGAAAGAAAATTCGCCAAGCATTTTTGGTAGTGGTATTTGGCCTGTTGAACCAAGTTTGGACCATCTTTCTGTAATGGTTGTCACAAGTTATACGGATGCAGACAGTCAGTTAAAAAATGAATTTTTTTTATTTTTAGGTACTCTGAGAGAAGTAAAACTAAATGTATTGGAATAACTATTGAAACAAGACCTGATTACTGCCTCAAGAAACATCTTAGGTATTGTACACTGTACATGCTCATGGATGGTATCTACTTGTAATAAGGAAAATAGTTTATTGTTCATACCAGAAATACAATTACTTCTGACTTAAACAAAAAAAAAAAGGCTATCTTTCTTCAATTTTTTTCTCAACTTTCATTTTTATCTTTTGTGGGCACCTGTGCCAGTACTATACAATTTGCATGGTTGACAGTTTATGTACAGTACAAGTTAACTGCTATGACGTAAACTTACTAACAGTTTTTGATATCTTAATATATTTACAGTTCTATGTTGTCGTATGGTTGTACAAGGCTTGAAATTGGTGTTCAAAGTGTATATGAGGATGTAGCAAGAGATACAAACAGGTTGGTGCTGTTGTTTGCGTCCCTCCCTCTTGCCCTCTCCTTGAACGAGTCAGTCATTTTGTTTGTACTGTACATGTAGCTTAGAATCCAAGAATCTTTGCAGACTAGCATTATCATGTTGTGGTTGATCAAAAGCCTATCATTTTGACAAGAAATGATACAGAAACCAACCAAGAGAAACGTTTGTGTCTGCGTGCACTTCAGCACGTTTTTATGGTTTAACTGTTACACTAAATATACCTACAGTAAAGATATCATTCAGGTTTGATGTTTGCAAATTGTGATTGGTTTCTTCGTCTGTTTGTCAGGGGGCACACAGTCAGAGCTGTCTGCGAGTCTTTTCAATTTTCAAAAGATGCTGGTTTTAAAGTAAGTATGAGAATTAGGTTGATATTCTAGGTTTCAAACATTGTAGGACTTCGTTTTACTAATTCCTTTAATGTGATATTTGACAGGTAGTTGCACACATGATGCCAGATTTACCTAACGTTGGTTTAGAGAGAGATATTGATCAGTTTATCGTAAGTTACGAGCCACAGTATCTGATTGTACATCCCCTTGAAAGAATTGATGACTCTCAAATCTCTAGGGTATGCAGGCTTAGCCTCACTTCTGAGTTCGGTAAACAAAAGCAGAAATTAGATTAACAAAACTAGCTACTCCTGGATTCGAGGCTAAGCCCACATTCACTGGAGTTTTAAGAGTGGTCAATAGATCTGCGTGGTAATAAATATGAATATAAAAAATGGAGGGCAGAAGAAAAATGGCACAAAAACAAACAGAACATGCTAAATACTAAATCTTATTATCAATAACTCCTTTTACTTGATTATTAAAATTGATTGTCAAATTTGCCCAGGACCATGCTTTCTGATATTGAGTTGTTGATGCCGATATGGCTATCCGAGGTCTATTCATGTAAAAGAGAGAAGTTCTGTGGAAAAAGATCGTAATTTTTGTATGTCTCTGTTGACCGTACCAGGGATGTATGTAACTAAGCATAACAAAACAATCTTCCTTGTCTCTCATTAAAACTATTGCACCATACAAATAAATTGTCAATGGGAAGAAGGTTACACTGTAGGGACCCCCCTGCACTTCATCTACTAGTTTGTCATTCAGGACAACACTTGCACCCCTTTTCCCTATAGAAGCATCAAACATGGAAAACATACAATGTGTGAAAAACTTGCTGACCCTGTGAAGTAAGATCTGGTTTGACTCTTTTCAGGAATTTTTTGAGAATCCAGCTTTTCGTGCAGATGGTTTGAAGATTTATCCAACACTTGTGATTCGTGGCACTGGTAGGTCTTCACTGGAAAAACATTTTATGTCAAATTCTTTGTTCTTTTCAAGACTGAAAAATAGCATTCTCTCACAGCAAGAATCAAGTTGTTACATTCCTTTCTTTTTGCTAGAAACTGTAATAACTTTCTTTGTAAACAATTAAATCCTGATTGCTTCTATCCTAGAGGTTTGCATGAGCCACCATGTTGGATGGCAGAACTTGTACTTGTCATTCAATATGGCCACCGCCAGTGATTGTTCAAACCATTATTGCATCCCAGAATGCCACAACAGGTTATCTTCTTGACCATTGTCACTAATAAGGTTACTTTGTTTTGTTTTATCATTAATTTCAGGACTATATGAGCTTTGGAAAACAGGCCGGTACAAGAGCTACCCTCCCAACACCTTAATAGATCTGGTAGCTCGAATCCTTGCTCTCGTTCCTCCATGGACTAGAGTCTATCGAGTGCAAAGGTAAGCAAAAATTCTTTGGCTTTTTTACGAGTTTGTCTTCTCAGTTAAGAAACCTATAGGTGTTTCTGCTACCCAGAAAATTCCAGATTGGCACACATTTTCTCATGTTTTGACCTCTGTCCATTTAATTACAATTGTGTGATTTTGATTGACGTGAAGTCAAAAATCCAAATATCAAGGCCACAGAACATGATATGTGTTTTTTCTCACTGTTGAAGCCCATCTTCGTTCATCTTCCAGAGACATCCCCATGCCACTAGTGAGTTCAGGCGTAGAACATGGTAACCTAAGGGAACTGGCACTAGCCAGAATGAAAGATTTAGGTACCCAGGTAAGTTAATATGCCGCCAGGAATGCTGGGAAGTATAAAAAAATACTAAATGAGGCGATGACTGAATCACTGATGAATTTCGTGTTTATTGTGCCATTACCTTTGCTGCTGTTGTGGTCATTGCTGTTAATGTTGCTGCTGTCATCGCAGTTCTAGCTGTTTTAATATTGTAGTCGTTTTTGTTGTTGTTGTAATTGCTGTTGTGGCTATTTTCATAGTTGTCAGCATGGTCTTTGCGGTTGTGTATAARACTCAGTTTAGTATTAAGCAATCTTAATTATTCATGCATAGTGTCGAGACGTGCGAACGAGAGAAGTTGGTATTCAAGAGATACACCACAAAGTTCGACCATACGAGGTACGTGATACCAACTGCAATAGAGCGGGCAGAGATACTTTTACTATTGTTTACCTGTGGATCATTAGAATCTTTTTCCCCTTAGATTGAGCTTATTCGTCGAGATTATGTTGCAAACAATGGCTGGGAAACTTTTCTCTCGTACGAAGATCCAGACCAAGGTATGCTCCAAAGAAAGCTCTAGAGGGATTTTCTGAGCTTTTATAAGCGAGGTGGAAACTTGTGGTCTTGATTTAGTAAAAGCAACAATATACAAGACATGGTGAACAAAAAAGATGTTTGTATTAAAGCTAGACCACAATGCAAGTTATTCGCTTTCTTAGAAAAGGAATTATTCGTGAATGAAACAATCCTGTGAAAGCATTCATTCGCTTCCCTCTACAAGTCTAAGTGCATGCCATGCAGCAACTGTTTGTAAAGCTACACCAGACAGCACCTTCTCTGTGAACAAGAGTCCTAAACCAAGATGTAGACGCTTATGTATCATTATTTTCCTTTTCTTCTTTTCATTCAAGATATCCTGGTTGGTCTTCTTCGACTCCGCAAATGCTCCGAGGAATCTTTCAGACCTGAACTGAAGGACCGCTGTTCTATTGTCAGAGAGCTGCATGTGTATCCTTTTCTTTGATACGAACTTATTCATTCATTTGTTATTGAGAAATTTTGTTGGTAAAATTCCTCTTCCTGTTTTTGCTTGTTTGTTTGTTCGCTTGATCGTTTATTTGGTTGATGGTGGTTAGTTGGCCTGTTGAATTTAGTTTCATGGTTTACAGTATGTGTTGGCTGGTTAATTGGGTGCGAGTGGGGTCGGGTGAGTTGGGTGGTCGACAGGTTGATTCGTAGGTTGGTTGGCCATTTGGTTGTTAGGTTAATAGTGATAAGTCGGTTTTTTGGTTTCATGGTTTGTTTGTTGGTGGGTAGGTTGGTTGGTCATTTGCATGTTAGGTTGATAGTGGTCAGTCGGTTTTTTTGGTTTCATGGTTTATTTGTTGGTTGGTAGGTTGGTTGGTCATTTGCATGTTAAGTTGATAGTGGTCAGTCGGTTTTTTTGGTTTCTTGGTTTGTTTGTTGGTGGGTAGGTTGGTTGGTCATTTGGTTGTTAGGTTGATAGTGGTCGGTCGGTTAGGTTTTAGGTTTCAGGGTTTATTTGTGGGTTGGTTGGTTTGGTGGATGGGGTGGGGTGTTTGGTTGGATGTGGTGGGTGGTGGGCTGTTGTTTGCTTTGTAGGTCGGGTGGTTATTTGGTTGATAGTGGTCAGTCGGTTTTTTGGTTTCATGGTTTATTTGTTTGTTTGTTGGGTGGGGTGGGTGGTGGGTGGGTGGTGGGCGAGTGGGGACGGGTGGTGTGGTCGGTTAGTTGGATTGTTCTTTAGGTAGTTGGTATAGATTTTGTTTGTTATTTCAAAGTAAAAGGAAATCAAATCGATATGTATTTTTAGTTTTATTGAGTCCTTCGAGTAGTTTCTTCTTTAACCTATCGCTAGCTATGGAAGTGTCGTTCCCGTCAGCGCGAGGGATCCCAGCAAATTCCAACATCAGGTGAGTTTGATGAACATGGCAGTTACTCTGATTGCCATTTTATCTACTCTTTTGATCTCCTCCTCCACTGCTTTCTCCTTCTTTTACATCTCCTCTGCTTCTACCGTCTCGTTGTCTTCCTCCTCCGTGAGCTATACATCTTACCTATGACCATGGTTACTATTTATTTGCTTGTCTAAGGGTTTTGGTATGCTACTTATGGAAGAAGCAGAAAGAATAGCACGAGAAGAACATGGTTCGATTAAAATTGCTGTTATATCAGGTAACTGACATGACCTTAGAGTGAATTCTGCTGTTATTTTTAGTTCACTAAGCAACTAGAAGGTAAATAAAACCGTATCCAAGTTTTCCCACGGGGAGTCACTTCCCATTTCCCAATTTCCACATCTCACTTCCTACTTTCCATTTTCTACCTCCCACTTTTTTCYTAACGTGAAAGATCATCCCTTCCCATATGTCCCTCTCTAGCTACTCCCAGAATGGGTCAAAGATTCACATTGGTTGTTTGATTATAAGTTTTTTTGCCAGTGTGATACACCCGTGGATGTCCTTTTGTTTTTGTCAAATTTTTCAACTATTTTCAATTTTACAGGTGTAGGGACACGTAACTACTACCGCAAGATTGGCTACGAACTAGAAGGACCATATATGGTCAAGACCCTTGTCTCGTGATATTATCTTCAAGAACTTTGAATCAATAGTACCATATATGGTCAGGAGCCTTGTCTCGTAATATTATCTTATACGGTCAAGAACCTGGTATCAATAATACCATATATGGTCAAGACCCTCGTCTCGTAATATTATCTTATACGGTCAAGAACCTGGTATCAATAATACCATATATGGTCAAGAGCCTTGTGTTGTAAAAAGCGCAGCGGTCAAAGGAGGGGACAACGCCAATACTGTCAAACCCTCACCTATAAGCATTAGCTAAAAGCGATTGTTCTCACCCTCTGCTCAAAAAACTTCTCCTCACTGCATGTGAGGCTATTCTCCGGCCATTCACATTTTCCATTGTACATCATTTCTGTCAGATTGTGACCATACTGGAGAGCAGCGACTTCCAAGTCTAGGGAATAGTTCAAACCACTTTGAAGTCTAGGCCACTCTCTTTTCTTGATATGGTCAAGTAGGTCCAAAATACCGTTGTTCGAATGTACCGTTGATTCGGCTTCTTCTAAACATGCTGTTATTGCATATGCTGACGGCGGGAAAGTCCAGTGACTCTCTCGTTTCTGATCGATATTTGAGGCGAACTTCATAAGACAACACTTTGAGAACGTCATGGTAAATTTGATTAGCAAGAAAGGCTCCTGCTCCAAGCATCAATAATATCCACAATACTCTCCGAATCTTGGAAGATTTCTTGAAGGTAAAGTCATGGAGCGTCGAGTAGGAACCAAAAGTTTCCCATAATTCCCTAGAGGATGGATTATTTGCTAGGTTCATTTTACACAAATGCTTTATTTACACCCTCTCTCTTCTCGATACTTTACGTGCGTCCGTTTAATTTTTGACTAAGTTTTGGCTCATTGATAATAGCATGCACCCAGCTGAACGACACTAGCCAGTCACAACGCGCACCCATTCGTGAAACCTTTAATTTTGCAATTTTCGGAAATTGAAAATGACGCGACAAATTAATGAATCAAAAATTAACTCGTGATAACTGAAAAAGAATACATGAATATCAAAAAGAAGGGATAAAAACGGTTGGTGCAAAAAAATGGTTGTTAACTGATATAATTAGATGTTAGTGAAATAAAAATTCTTTTTATGCTTATGCTTTTTTCCATCATAGCTTCTCACATTCAATTGTATTTTTTAATCAAAATTTAAAACTTCTAAAAAAATCAACCCTCAAAATAACAAATTAGCTTTGAAGAATGAAAAATGTACCACAGGGAACCCAACGTGTAAGCCATTAACACAGGGAACCCAATATTAGTTTTTATTTATGATTGAGTCCGACTGAGAATAAAAAGTGTTTAAAAAAATTTCTTTTTCTCATAAGCTAAAATCTCTAATTTAATAGAAGGGATTTGTTGTAACTTGTGTCAGAATCTCAAATAAATTTTAAATGATCTTTTCCCCGTAGCTCATAGAAAACAATCAAATAAAATTAATTACAGCGTCGTCTTTTTTGTTAATCGATACGGTTATTTATTAATATTACTTTTCGTTGGTACTCGTTAATTCTTGTTATTCATTTTCATGAAAACCAGAAGTAGTCACTACATATTTAAAAGCTTGAATATAAATATATTATAAGTAACAGTCATATTCACGAGTGCCCGGCTAGCTCAGTCGGTAGAGCATGAGACTCTTAATCTCAGGGTCGTGGGTTCGAGCCCCACGTTGGGCGCACATTCTTTTTTTCCTTTCTTTCTCCTTTGTAGTCTTTTACTCCTTGTTTTTTAACTTCTTTAACCTTTAGAACACAAAAAGCAGTTACAGCATATCTAATGCTAGCTTTCAATATATAATTTTTTAGCGTTGAGTTATGAAAGTATGGTGCCAAATCTTGTCAGCCCGCACACTTCCTGCGCACCTACATCGAGGGATTCCGTGGTGATCCATAATATCCAATCCTATATGAAACTATTTAACTAGTTTTTACATGTTTTCGTGAAGTAGAATTTCTGTATAAAAAGATTTTGGAAGACCGGTATATGACTGAACTATTGAAATCCCTTGCTGCAAATCGACGAAGCTGACCGATCTAACCTGAAGCGCTTAAAGGATCTAGTTAAAAATTTGAACATCATAATTCAAAAAGAAAAACTATTTTTAACAATAGAAAGCCTGCGCAAAAAAGAAAACCAAATTATTTATTCCCAAATCAAGCCAATCAACTACTTTTTGCTTTTATTCGGAGTTTCCAAATCCAGGATGTATTGTGGTCTAGATTCGGTACAAACAACACCGAAAAAGGCATGATGGACAAATGTAGTTTGTACCGAAGCTACACAACAATGCACCATAATCGCTATCTCAGAAAACGTCTTATTGTAAGCCGTCTATAACAGTGGCGGATCCAGGATTTTTTTCAAAGGGGTTTCCGTTTCTTAAACTGTTTATAATTCTCTTTAATTTAGTTGATGTTTGACAAAAAAAAATTGACTCTAATCACCTAATTTACTATAGTAACGGAACTTAAAGGTAAATCAAACATTATAACAGCAAATATCCGTATCATTTCGTGTTCAACATTATCTTTGTGGATACTTTAAGCAAAATTTATATAAGACATATTTCTATTACCTAAAAGATCAAACCTTCAAGGGGGGTTCCGTGGAACCCTTCGACCCCCCCCCCCCCCCCTGGATCCGCCACTGACGAGCCTTTGGCAAATAATCGTTAAATATTTATAAGCTTCTATATGATTTATAAGGCCATTATTGCTGGTTTTCAATCATTCCCAAGAGAATGTAATAACAAAAGATATATAAGAGGATATAACTAAAGAATTCATTGACAATTCTTTTGTTAAAGTCCTCCAACATGGCCGACGTGAAAACCATCAATAGGAGGTCTAACTCGTAAAAAGTTTATTCACATAAGTTACATTAAACTTTTCATGATTCCTAACGTTGTCCGGCACCTAACTGATCTGATCGAAAAAGTGTTAGACAATCAGAAACTGAGTGTCACTTTTCCTCTTGAAATTATGGATTTCCACACCATCCAATAAAAAAAAAAACATTGCTAATAAGCACTTGATAACAGTGACACAATAATAAACGAGCACATTTGCCGCTGGTCATTTTTTGCCGGCCTCGGCTCATGACACCTGGGTTCTGCAGTGACGTCATTTGCCTTGTTCGGGGGCACGTCTGAGATTTTCATGCAGGCACTACAAATGATTCATAAACAGAGCACAAGTGAGAGAAATCTTATTAAATATATCTTTTCTAATTAAGGTTTGCTTGAGCTAACGGAACAAATAAAAATTACTTCGATTGTTCTCTTTGCACAAGAGTGCAGAATCGTGCAGAATATTTCTCCAATCACAGCGCCGATATCTAACATTCCACGCTTCCTGCCCTTGATGTCACGTGATAAGTATCACATGATCAGCTGATTGGGTATATAAACAAGCTACGCGTTTGATCTCTCTCTCTTTCCCGCCACCAATCCTTCCACCAGATGTTAATAAAGTAAGTTAAGATTCACTGTTAATGCTTTGCTTAACCCTTCCTTGCGTTTTAAAAGTTTGGTTTCCAGAACATCAACAGTAATTATACAGTCCTTCTAAAATGATAAGAAACCGATGTTTTTAAGTAATATTGAATTATGTAATAGATTTTAAAGGACTTTGCAAACATTTCAGCCGTATAGTATTTTATAAATTCTAGCTAATTTATAAGAAACGTAAGGACGCCTGAGTTTTAATACTGTAAAGAATCATTAGAATTTAACTATGAGGGACCAATGCTAGGGATTTTTCATCTGTTCGTAAACGTTTGGATAATTTTCTTGTTAGCAAGGTTTTGAATTTTCAATTGCTAAATTTAGTGTTAATTGTGCGTGAGATATTCATGAAAGCCACTAGAGCATTCTGCAGCGCATTCCTATTTGCATCTGGGGATGTTGTTTTAGGAGTAAAATATCTTTTCTCTTTTGTTGGTGAGGAATAGTGCTGAGGACTACACATTTGTGTGCTATAATAAGATTTTAATAATATAAAAAATAGAAAAATGTTTTCCTAATAATGTTTTACTAAAGCGTGCTTTTTCATTATTTTTCAGGTCCCCCTCGTTCCATAGCCGTACATGAATGGCACAATCAATAGACGACACTAGGTATTACTGTAGGTACATACATTAACACAAGAACCTCAAACAAGCTATTAAATTCTACATATTTTGGCGCCTTTGCCCTTGAAATTGTTTTCTTATTTCGCGTTTACTTGTTTGACGTGCCTTGTTGGAGGTATTAATATGTGGGAAGTATCTGTTCCTAAATCAAATATGGAACGTCAATTTTTTTAATAAATATATTATTTTTGGTTTGTGACCACAGCAATTTGAACTATTCTCTTAAAAAGAATTACCTCGGTTGTCACAATCCAAATATTTTTCATTTATATACAAACGTTATTTGTAAGTTAGGACTAGACTTAAGAGGGTTCCAGAAATACAAAGTATGGAGCCCAGCAGATAACATTAGAAGAAGCTACCACTTTTACTAAACTTAGCTGGGGTTTACTAGTGTTTTTGACTGGTCAATTGGCCAGGGTCATGGGACCAATTAGGTTAGCTTTTTATTAGACCAACGAGTTGACAACGACTGAGGAACCGTACACTGGAGGCAAGCACTGGAAGATTCTTCAAACTACAGCTCGTCAGAGCATAAACTGTGTCTGTGGTCCTTGATTTAGAATTAGCTGGAGATCTGTCATTGTGTTGTGCAGTTGTGGTCAGTTAGCTATAGTACTAGACACACACACACACCTAGTGCGCCTAGGGTTAGGTTAGAGTTCGATCCTCCGATAAGATTCTGGYCTCAMTSCTCGGTTGGCACAGTCAGGGTTTGAATTGGTTTAGACATTCCAACGTGACTATTTGAATGAAATTCAATTTAGATCTTTTCGTAACGATGTAGAATTTGAACATTTTGAACTTCCAAAACTGTTTTTAATTAATATCAAAAATGTTCGTTAATCATTTGTACTTCTAATTTTTCATTGACTTTTCTTTTGTCAAACCCTGACTATACATGTGTCGATCTCAATGACAGTCATGTCTCCATAAATACTAATCCTAAATGCCATGAGAGCCATCATATCGATGGAGATCATCAATACTATATTGATGTTATCCATCAGTTCATGTCCATGGCATTTAAAAACTTTGCTTTGCAGTTTGTCCAAGAACAACCAAACTTGGTTGCGGCGTTGAGAACAAGAGTCTGCGATAGTCTTTTTCTATTCTCAGTGGTAGCTTCTTTAGGGCCTAGATTAGAGATTTTTGTTATTCATATATGTCTGTCGTTCGTACAGCTACAACGGTTGTTGTATTTGTATTTCTCGATATTTTCATTCATCTTTGTTTGTCCAAGGGTGAATCAAAACGTCGTGTCTCACGATTGCGCAATCTCCACCTGTWTAAAAAAACGGGATGTTTCTGTTCATAATCGATTCTCTAAGAATATTTCGGCTCGAACTTTATTTGGCTTATTTTGAAATTCCCGAGATCTATAGGTTAGGCTCATGATTATCTAATTTTTAAAGCATATATTATATTCTTAGTAATTCTAGGAGTTTTTTGTATTCATATATAGGGTATAGGATTTCTATAAGATAATTAGATTAGATTAAATTTAGATTGGCATTAAGATTTTTCTATTTTTTAACTCTCATACTTTATAAATAATTTTATAATATTTAGTGCCGTAATTTATACGAGTTGTGTGCTTCTAATCTTGAATATTTTAGTTATTTCAGAAGTCATATCGCTTCAGATATT